AATTGTGTATTTAACTCAAATAATTGTGTATTTAACTCAAATTTTGCTGTAATAGGCTCTGTTCTTAACTATGGGTCATCTGTAAACTGGGCATTCTTAATAACCTAGGGTATGTAAAACAAGTTCAAGAAAAGGTAATTTAACATTTTGGTCTAGAGCTCTGTTCAAAATATTTTCCTTGGAACACTTGGATTTTTAGTCTCCCTACTGATTCCTTCTGTGTACCTGCCAATGTTTCTGTGGTTTCAGCTATGGGAATATTTCACCTACAATCATGGTTGTATCTGCCAATGTTCTGCATTTCTATAGAAGACTGTAATTGTCATGCAACCCTTGCAATTCCCAATTTCTGACATTTCTTTAAATAGAAAATAGTTTATAGTACAAGGCATGTGATAGCCCTGGAACAGTGTACATTATTATATGAACAAGAAATACTAAATGAGTGTTTCTCTTCCGTATGCTGCCAACCTGTGGGTTATGTTCAATGGGGGCATTCTCTAAAGCATCTCTAAAATACGCCACTTGCTAGGGCAAAGCTGAGCTGGTACGAATCCCTCCCCCCCTTGTCTCATTGTTCACACAACACATTTGACCAGGTCAGTTACAAACCCAGCAGCTGCATTCACACAACATGCTAAGTTTATCGGTGTCAACCTTTATTAACATTTTAGCACGCTGTGTGAAACCAACCCAACTGTTTAATTTCAATGTATGGTATGCAAAGCCAAAAAACTGATTAATTCTGAACTATGGTTAATTGTGTTGTAAGAATGCAGTCAAGGGTTGCCAGATCTGCTTGATAAGACTTAGAAAGCAAACTTTTCTAGAAAGATATTTACTTGGGAGTCAAAATTGTTTTACAAGTTCCTTCTTTTTATGAAGTCTATTTTTCATTTTATTGGGATTTTAACGATATTTGAATCTATTTTGTGATTTATTACCTTCAGTGCATTGAAATGCTCCCTCCATAAATGCACAAACACATAGACTAAAATGAAGGATTCAGATGCACCACACACTTACAAAAGCAAACAGTCAGGAAAAAAACACCAATAGTTTTATCATTTTTATATAAAATAGACATTTATATACATCTGCTTTGTCCAAAGACTTATTTGATAATAATTTCTGAGGTCAAAATCCATTCATAATTTGACAATGAAGATAAAGGCTCTTTCAAAATCTTGTTACCACTGGCATACAGTTCACTGCTAAATTGTGCATTTAAATCTAGTGAACAAAAACAATATCCCAAAACTGAGAAAGGCAAAAGTGAAAAAGACAGAAAAACTCCACATCTATGCAATTAACCTCAACTTGTAGAACTTCAATAGCATCCAATTTTGGCAAAGAGAGTTCTGGACGTTCAGAGAAGCCATCAGTAACAACCAGAGTTCTCAGAAGAAGAGTTGTCAACAAACTCAGATCAACAGCACAAAGAATATTGGCACATATTTTCAGAGATTACCATAATCCAAGTTGACATTTCTCAGACAAGTTTTCTTGTTGCTGCTTGTGTATGTAGAAGCACGCTGCTAACTATTGCACATGCCCTAGGCAAAAAAGCCCTACTGGGCCATATTTTCACAGAGGAAAAGCGTGCAAGCAATAAGCTAAACACATAGTGCAACTGTAAAAAGGGAGCTAAGTGTGCAGAGATTTTGGCAGGCTTTCAAAGAATTCATTCAAATTCAAGATCAGAGCTGCTGTTAAGAAAACAATCTGAACCATATAATTGCGATTCCATGACTCCAACTGTAGTCCCGGGTCTAATAAGGCTTTATAATTTTCATATATCATTATGTTACACAATTATCTTTAATCCCCAGAAGTCTGATGATTGCTGGCATTCTAAGCATACGTGTGTGATTGTCAGTATCCTCTATTAGAGAGGCTAAAGTTCAGTGAGAGAATACATGCTTTACTTGCAAAGGATTCCAGGTTCAGACTTTGGTTAAAACAAAGATCAGATAACAGATGGTGAAAAACAGTTTGAAATAAATTGGGATTTTAATGTTATGGGGATCTTAATGGACAATACTGGGCTACCCAGATCGATCATCTATCTGGAGGAAGGCAGCTTCCTGTAATCATAAAAATAGTGCTTATGAATGCTTGAAGCAGTGCTAAAAACCCTAACCTTCTGTTTTTATTTAGCATCTGAAGGAGAGCCACTTGCCCCAGAATTATATGAGTATATGAACAGTTCATTGAAACAAGGGAAATAATACAAGGTAATCCCTTTTGTAATTCTAACAGCAGTGCTGTGTCCCCCTCTCTCAGCACATTACCTTCCAACAAGGGTACTGCCATTCTCTAGCATACTACATATATTTCTATATTTCATTATTTTTAGCAATTGTGGTCAGTGGGGGCTCCAGAGATGTAAAACATGCAGCTTGGGACCAAAAGATGTTGACTTCTACTCTACAGCATAAATTGCTTCTAAAGAGAGTCACAAACCAACATATAGCAGAGACAGGAAGTTTCCTTCCTTTACACTAGGTCAGCCTATTTGTTGGTCCCATATTGCCTATTCTCCGATATGTCCAATATTGCCCATTCTGATTGATGGTGGCTATCCAAGGCAGAACATCAAAACTAGTGTTCACAGATGAAAAAGAAAGGGTTCTGCATGGAAAGCAGACGCTCCACTTTGCAGACAATTCCTTTTTTTTTCTGGCCTCTTAGAAGAGAGCTAGAGAAATGCTCAGCACTCAGCTGTGGATGTACCGCTATCTCCCTCAGCTTCATTTCAAAGGTCCATTCATAAGCTTCTAGTGAACCCCCCCAAAAAGCCCACTGGATACTGCAGTTTGACAGCAAATCATCTTAACCCAATGACTTTTTCGTTCTGTCTTTAAAAGAACGAAATTGTTATTGTTGATCACCAGGAAACAATTGCACAAAATATTCAACAAAGGGCTCAGTTTTGCATTGTATGGAAACGGATCTGCTCATGCTTCATATTAAACCACGGTTCGCTGAATAACCACAGTTGATTGTGATCACATGACATGCTAAGGTACAAATGTATTTTTAAAATGACGACTTACAGTGTTGGGTGAATTTGGTCTGTATACATCTGTGTATATTCTACGGAAATGCTCAGAGACAAGGGCTAATTGCAAACTATATGCTGTTACTTTTGGCTTAGCTTATTATATGAGCCTAGCCACTGTGGTTTGTAAAACAGCTGTGGTTCAAATACACTATAGCTAAGTATGTTATATCTTAATTCAATATGTGAACACAGTCATTGCTTTTACCAGAATTAGAATAACCTACCATGCCTAACAATATTTCTAGAGCTCGCGGACATCCAGTCTTCCCCATCCACTTCAGCGGAGTGGGTACTTTGGACGATGTTGAGCCCTTTGGGTTGGATCCATGGAATGAACCAGGCAGCCCTTATGGCCTGTTAGTTTAGGTTCAGCAGACCCCTCTCCATACAAAACAATTCAAGTTTTCAGAAAAGGAGTTGTCCCACAATTTTTCTTGGAATAAAAAAAAATGTTCATAATGCAGGGTTAATATATGCCAGTAGAAAAAAGAGAGCTAGGATATTTATAGCTGCATTTAATCCACACGCAGCAAGAAGAAAAAAGGGAAGAGTGATCAAATCAGGTCAGGAATGCATTGGAATGTTGTTAGATCAATATGAATAACCACAAAAGTGAGTCTTTTCCCAAGATGGGCCCCATTCATCTGGAAAAAGATCCAAATTGTGTGTATTTGCATGTGTGTGTGGCGGGGGGGGGGGTACCTCAG